ACATGTACACATGCAGATACATGCACAGATGTGTACACATGCAGATACCTGCACAGACGTGTACAGATGCAGATACATGCACAGATGTGTAGACATACAGATATACGCACAGATGTATATACATGCAGATACATGCACAGACATGTACACTTGCAGATAACATGCATAGACATGTACACACATAGGCATGTATGCATACATGTACATGCACAGATGTGTGTACAGATGTGTACATGTGTGGGTACATGCACAGACATGTGCATCAAGAAGATGCTTCCAAAAGATCTGACCTGGACCTCTTGCTTCCAAAACAAGCACCCAGTCCCCAGAGTTGATCTGGTGAGCCCCAGAGAGGGCAAACAGAGGCTGAGTCTAATCCAGCTCTCCCATGCACAAGGAGAACACAAGAAAGCACTTCTAGCTCTCTGGGCCCCACCCAGTGTGAGGAACTGGACACCCACCAAGTATGGGTTCAGTGAGAGTGGGGCCCCATCCCACACCCATCCACAACACACCTTAGTCAAGTGTTTGCTTTCTCTAGAAGACAGCCTCAGATAATTATGCTTCAAGGGGGACAGGAACAACACTTGCTTACTGAGACAGACCGTGCGACGGTCCGTTATTTCACTCCCAAGACACACAGTTGATAGCGTCCTCTCAGCGTCACTGTGCAGGTTTCGACTGGCTGGACACATCAGCACTGCTGGGAGGGCTTCATTTGTTTCCATCCATGAGGATTTTACATTGCTTGACTTTTATGTATCTCAAAACTTTTCAAATGACCCACACTTGCTGGTCAGTGGCTGCAGAAATTAGCTGTTATTACCCCTAAAATGTCACACAAAGCACACAGAACACTAGTAGTTTGAAGTAATTTGAATTCCTTAAAAAGAAACCATTTTCAAAACTCAGTTTTCAAAACACCAAATTTGAGGTCCTGGTGAGCACTGTCCCAGCTGCCGAGAGCTGGGGAAGGGCCCTGCTGTGGTGTTGGTGGTGGTGTGCATGGGGACCCGTGCATGGGGACCCACACACGGGGACGCTCTCTTTGGAGAGCATTTTGGCTCAAGAATCTTAAGTGTACCTGGCCTCTGACCCAACAACTTCAGCTCTGCCAGTATCTCAGAAACAGCCTCCAAGCACCAGGAAGTAGGCCCATCCTGCTGACTGCTCTGGCTTGAAATAGCAAGTGGCCAGACAGTGTCACTGGGGGACAGTGCCGCTGGGGGATGGGTTAAACAGACTGCAGTGCAGCCGCTCACTGTGGGTCCAAGCAGCTGTTACTGGAAGGGGCGGATCTCCCGCTGCCAATGTGGACCCATCTGCAAGGTACGCTGGGTGGACAGAAACACCAGCAGCAGGATAGGACTCATGTACTCGCGTTCTCATTATCTCATGCACACGGGTGCGTTTATGGCCCTTGATGTGCTGCCACTTAGGGGAATGGAGCCCAAGGAGCCAGTGATTGCAGTTGCCTCTGGGTGAAAGGCCAACAAACCCCAATTTGCACTCTCTTTCCTCCTCCCCTCAGCACCCCCTTCAGCACTCAGGCCTTGCGGGAAAGGGCTGTTAAACAAACATATTCTTGGAGAGGGGGGATTAGCCCAGAGTTACAGCAGACCTTTGTAAAACGCATTCCTATCCTAGGTTCCCCTGGTAACTAACCAACCCCCAACCCTGTAAATCTAACCTTGCAAAGATTTCACCTACCTCCCTCCCCCCAACAGAAAAAAGGTATAAAAATTCTCTTCCTTTGTTATAGCGGGCCGAGAATTTGGGGTGTGAACCCATCAGCTAGCCAATAAAGGACCCCATACCTAATTTGAACTCAGTGTGCTGGCATTTTCTCTGTAATTCTACTCATGCTGGGTACAACACAGGGTGGGGCAGGGAGGTGCTAGGAGGCTGCAGTGGAAGGGGGCTTCATTCTCCACTCCTAAATTCTATTGACTGACCTGTTTACCAATCTGGCAAAAATAAATAATTAAATGATCCATGTGTTTTAGCAAATATTACTGAACACTTGTAAATGTGCAAAGTCGTGAACCTGATAAGCCAGGGTAGGCGCACAGCATGCCATGTGGGTGAGCAAAGCGTCCTCCCCACAGGTTGTGTTTACTGTTGCTGGGAGAGATGGAGGGGTCAAAAAGATTCACTTCCCCTCCAGGATAGATTGGGGTGCCGGGCTCCCTGCCCGACGCACCTGAAGCCCTCCCACCTCCAGAGGAATGACAGTGGTGCCCAACCTTTCAGAACCAAGAGCCTGTGTTCTATGTGTGATAATATTGGAGTCTTGAAGTTTGCAGAACCTTGTTGCTGTACCAATACAGTCAGCTTCCCCCACCAGCCCCAGGGGCACAGGCCAGCTGAAGGGTGTGGACCTGTCAACTTAGAAAATCCTGATATCAGGGGTGAGCCGGGAGAAGGGAGGAGAAGGGGAGAGGACTGTTGGTGGGAGGAGGGCAACTGGTGGGATCTCACCTAATGTGCACAGCTCAGGGGTGTCAGCGCACCCCCTGAGTGAAGGGCTCTCCTACTTGAACTTGACTTTGAAAGTGAGAACAACATAACTTAAACATTTTCACCCTCATATTAATTTGAAATAAAAAAATAAAAATAAAAGAATCACAGAAATGCAAATTAAAATCCCAAAGAGATACCATCTTACTCCAGTTTAAACAGCCATTAATAAAATCATAGAACATACACTAAAAAGGAAACAGTTATAGACTGTCAGTGGGAACACAATTTAGTACAACCTCTGTGGAGATCAGCATGGAGATTTCTCAAAGATCTGAAAGTCGATCGATCGTTTGATCCTGCCATCCCACCCAAAGGAAAAGACATCTTTCCATCACAAAGATGCCGCATTGCATCAGCATGTCTATCGCAACACAGTTCATAATTGCAAAGATACGAAATCAACCTAAGCATGAATCAACCCTTGAGTGGGTAGAGGAAATGCATCCTGTGCTCCTGCACACACCAGGGAGCACTGCCCAGTGATACGAAGGAAATAAAGTCATTTGCAGCAACCTGGGTAAAACTAAAGGCCATTGTCCTAAGTGAAGTTACTCAGGAACAAAAGATAAATGCTGCATGTTCCCACTTGTAAAGGGGAGCTAAATAAGGACTGCACCAGGGCCCGGGTGGGCTGTAATGGACACTGCAGACTCAGAGCAGGAGGGTGGGAGGGGCTGAGGGATAAATAATTATCTGTGGGTTTGAGGTACACTGTTCAGGTGGCTGGTAAACCAAAAACTCAGACTCCACCACTGTGTAGTATGATGAGATTAAACATGTACTCCTTAACTCTATTAAAATAATAAAATACATTTATTTATTTTTAGAATGCTTTAATATCACTTTGGCTTAGTCATCTTTATTTCTTTCTTGAAAATATCTCTAAAATTGTTTTATCCACCACAATAAATTAATAAACTTCAGAGTAAGTAGATCACATTTTTTAAAATATTTTGATGATTTTATCAGGATTGTATTAAATGTATATTTACTTAGAGAGAATTTTATACTTTTGTTGATTGACCTTCTTCTCCAAAAACAAGGTATGATTTTTCATGTATTTTTTTTCCTTTTGCATCCTAAAAGCTTTTTAGTTTTATTCACATTTATGCCTACTTCATTCCATGTTAAATATACACTATTTAAAGTATGTGATCCTTTTTGTTACTATTACAAATAGAATCTGTTTTATTTTTAATTTTTTACTGCCTTTTCCTATTATATGTTTCACCTTCCATTCTGAAAATTTATGTCATATGTTATAATATTTCCCAAAAAATAGACAGATACAGAGATAGAGAAACTATTACCTTTTTTTTTTTTTGAGACACAGACTCACTATGTCACCCTGGGTAGAGTGCCATGGCATCACAGCTCACTGCAGCCTCCAACTCTTGGGCTTAAGCGATTCTCTTTCCTCAGCCTCCCAAGTAGCTGGGACTACAGGCACCTGCCACAACATCCAGCTATTTTTTGTTGTTGCATTTGTCATTATTGTTTAGCTGACCCCAGCCAAGTTCAAACCCACCACCTTTGGTGTATGCAGCTGGCGCTGTAACCACTGTTCTGCAGGTGCCAAGCCAGAAATTATTCAATTTTTAATGTCTATTTCCATTTTCCAGATGTACTTTATAAATTCCAGTGATCTATGAATTGATCTATGTATTGCCTTTTAATTGCTTAGACTCCAAGTCACACAGCCTTTTTCACACATATAAGCTTGTCCACCAATTTAATGATAATTTCTCTGAAGTCTTTCTTCTATTGATTGTGCTACTATTTCTGCTTTCACATATCCTGCTGTTATGTATTTTTCTCTTACAACTTATTTTAATGCAAAGTACATAAACCTAAAAAACAAAAAAGAAAATCCTGCTATCTATACATTTGGAAAGGAGAACATCATTTCCTAAAGAGGGCTGCAGCTGCAGTCTGGGAAGCCCAACATTCTGCAAAGCCCAAAGGCGGGCACTTTGGGGGGCAGGGTAAGAGGCATGCTGGATGGGGTGGCCAATATACAAATTCAACAGGTTGCAGGAGGAGCTATGAGATTCAAAAGAGAGGGTGTGTGGTGTGTAGTGAGCAGACATGCTTACTATGTCCACATTCACCTGGGGCGGAGACTTCACATTCAAACGGGTCCTAATTAGTCCCTATCCATCAAAGGGGCAGGGAGGCGGCACCTCTAGCACGTTTTGTCTCTGTAATCAACCAGAAGCAGACCTGGCTGATGGTCGACTACAGGACAAAGTTACTAAAACCAGTCTCTTGTACCATTAAAGCTGCAGTTGTGGAGCAGGACGTGGGGGTCAGTGTCCGTCAGAGTTCAGTTCACTCCTTACCTGCAGAGGCGCGTGACTCAACCCATGCCCGGCATGGCCCTCAGGTCTTGTTTATAATTTAGTATCTTATTGCCACAAAAAGCCTTCTGATCTGGTTTTTTTGTTTGTTTGTTTGTTTTGAGACAGAGTGTCAAGCTGTTGCCCTGTGTAGAGTTCTATGGAGTCATAGCTGACAGCAACCTCAAACTCCTGGGCTCAAGTGATTCTCTTGCCTTGATTTTTCTATTTTTAGTAGAGACAGGGTCTGGCTCTTGCTCAGCCTGGTCTCAAACTCATGAGCACAAGCTGGCACCTGCCCTGGCCTCCCAGAGTGCTAAGATTACAGACCTGAGCCACTGTGCCCAGCCCTGATCTCTGCTTTAACAGATTCCATTCAAAAAACAAATAAAGGCGAGATCCAGATAATTTCCTTTCCCCTCATTAACCAGAAGGTGCGTTTGGGCTCTCTGAGGTGTGACATATTTAGAGGAGCATTTTTCACGTACCTTTCGCTGGGTCCAGTAACTTGTGTCTCCATCTAGTCCTGCACAGTTCAGGTCCAGTAACTTGTGTCTCCATCTAGTCCTGGACGGTTCAGGTCCGGTAACTTGTGTCTCCATCTAGTCCTGCACAGTTCAGGTCCGGTAACTTGTGTCTCCATCTAGTCCTGGACGGTTCGGGGTCCGGTAACTTGTGTCTCCATCTAGTCCTGGACGGTTCGGGGTCCGGTAAC